GCCGAACAGCCGATGCTGGTGTCCGTAGATCGCTGCTCTTTGAAGCTCTTGTGCTCTGTTTACAGTTATGCCTTAGTCATTAGTCAACAGGGCCTTTGGGAGAGAGAGTTCTGGGAATACTTCCTGTCAGGTTTTTCCCAGCCCTCCTTTGGAATGAATGCCTCAGCAATCCACTTTGTAACCCTGTGGGTGATCCAATTGCCCAAAGGGACTCTTGTTGCTCCAAAGGGTTCCCAGCACTCAACCTCAAAAATAGCTCAGGGCTCAGTGAGACCTTGTTGAAATAGTCCCTGCTTTTGCTTAAAAACACAACCTGGCCTAGTCTCTGCAAGTCACCCATGAAGAATTATTTTGCTACTTACTTTTTACCGTATATGTCACTGCAGGGTAGTAATCTGTACGCTTCTTTTGGCACCTCTGGGAACTGGGACTCGTTGCTAGGGTTCCTCTATCTGTGCGGAACCCCTGAGCCTTCCAGGAGAAACAGCAAAAGGACTTGGGTCTTGACAGTCACTCACCTGGGACACTGGGATCAGCACTCCCCAGTGAGGAGGGGAGGCAGACGCTGCCCTGGTTTCCTGGAAGAGCAGAGGAAGAGGTAAGAACATGACTTGATTGTCGGGGAGCACGCCATGGGGGGGAGGGGTAAGGCAGCTAGGGACAGGTTGTGCGGGGACCCACACTTTCTAACATCACGCACACTGGGATCTCAACTGGCATTGTCCCAGGCCCAGGGAAGCTGTTCTAAGCCCTCCGGGATGACAGGGCTTTCTGAGATCCTGGAGCCGAGTCTTGCTTTTCCAGTTTACACTGTGGTCCTGCTTTCCTACAGGCTTCGTGTTGACCCTTTCGTCAGAGCTGTTATCAGCCCGTCCTGTCCCCATGGCTGCTGCCCGTCCCCTGTCACAGCCGCCCCAGTCTGTCCCTCCAGGGCCTTCAAGTCAGGCTTTCAGAGTCGGCTTTTTCAATTTGCACTGGACACCAAGCAACCAACCAGCGAACCGTCTCCAGTGGTCGGCAAACTCATTAGTCAACAGAGCCAAATATCAACAGTACAACGATTGAAATTTCTTTTGAGAGCCAAATTTTTTAAACTTAAACTGTATAGGTAGGTACATTGTTATTAACTTACTTAGGGTACTCCTAAGGCTTAGGAAGAGCCACACTCAAGGGGCCAAAGAGCCGCATGTGGCTCGCGAGCCGCAGTTTGCCTGCTGACCACGGGTCTAGACCTTTTAGGAAAGGAGGTGAGGAGGCAGAGGTGAGTGGTGGAGGGCTCAAATCACAAACTCATTGCTGCCCAGTGAGTGGCTGGGGACACTCAGGTTTCTTAACAGCACTAGGCTAGCAGGAGGATGAATGGGCGGCTTTCCCCTTGCTGCCACTGGGCTGACTTCCCCCTGCAGGCTCGCACGAGGCCCAGCCTTCCCCCAGCCACTTGTGATTCTCCACCAAACCCCATCTCCATCCCAGCTTGTCTCCTTTGCTGGTGATGCGCTGTCACACTCTGACTCCCGAGCTCACTACCAAGGAAGTCAGAGCTGCTCCTCTCCTGGAATCCTGATGCCCGAGGGCCAGGCATCCATGAGAGACGCCTCCTCTCACAGTACCTGTGAGCACTGTCATGTTAAGTGGTCAGACATGCACTGCGCGCTGATCCCGTGGGGCAGGGCAGGCCGGGGAAGGCACAGACCGGGACAGGAGTCAAAGACGAGGGCCCCTTCCACGTAGTGGGCAGATGTCCAGTGCAAGGCCTGGCAGAGATGAGGGTGCAGGCAGACCAAGGTGGGATGCTGGGAGGAGACAGACACACAGCTCTTGGCAAGATGCTCCCTGCTGGACACCATCGTCACCTACTCTATAAGGCACAGAAAGAACCAAGCAAAAAAATAAGAGTTTCCTCATTACCCTTCTAGGCTATTTGTCCTTTATCTTCTCTTTGTAAGAGCTGGGGTTTGCATCCCTACTCAAAAGCTCTCCCCCTTCTCCTCCCTAGAAAACTCTATCTTGTTTTTTATACCTCTACCCTCTCTGTAACTTCTACAGCACTCAGAAAACTGGCCCTCCTAGGAAACTTACACACACACACACACACCGAAATCTACGTCACACACTTGAAATTTCCCTGCCTCCTCCCGGTGGGAGGTGGACGGGCTCCTGGTGACACGGAGGAGCCTCTCACACCTAACCTGGACTCTGAAGCCTGACCCAAGCCCTCACTGCAGACTCAGAGGCAGCTGTTTCAGGCAGAGTCTGCAGAGTCTCCAACGGCAACTGAAACACCAGCTGGGAGGAAAAGGGCCTGGGCTCCCACACTGAGCCTCACACGCCTCTTGACCTCATGGAGGCACTGCCTTCATTAACGGGGCCCTGAGGATTAGGCTGAGCACAGTCAGCCCCAAGGAAGATGAAGGAGCCGGAAGAAACTGACCTACCCTGAGTCTCACAGTGATATCATTTCCACCAAAGCACCCACTCGGGGTTGGGGCACAGCCAAACGAGTGAGTCAGAGAAGGAGGGGCTGCAGGTGGGCGGCAGGGCGGCATCCCTTCTGCCATGCCACAAATCCCCTTAAAATGCTTGTTTTTAATTTTTTAAGTATATTTTTATTGCTTTCAGAGAGGAAGGGAGAGAGACAGAGAAACGTCAGTGACGAGAGAGAATCATTGATAGGCTGCCTCCTGCACACCCCCTACCGGGGATCGAGTCCACAACCCGGGCATGTGCCCTGACCAGGAGTCAAACCTCCTGGTTCATAGCTCAATGCTCACCATTTAGCCACACCAGCAGGGCTAAAATGCTTGTTTTTTTGTTTGTTTTTTTAAAAAGGAGAGAAGCAAGAGGGCCAGAAGGGGCTTTAATAAATTACAAAAAAATAAATAAATAAAATCGAGGCATGGTGAGAATGAGGCGAAGGCTAAGTGGTTAGTGGGCCAGCTCTTGAGTCTCCATCCCCCTGCCTACATTTTACCAGTAGCTCCTTTCTGCCTGTGTTCTGTGCCTGTGCCCTCGCCCCACTGGACGGAGAGTCCTAAAGCCTTCCCATTCACCGTGAGTCATGTGTTTTCCTTGGTTGAGGGCAACGGCTTAGCCTTGGCAGGTGGGGGGGTCTCTGGGATGACAGGATGTTCTGATTAATCCCCAAAGGAAGTGATGCTTCTCCTTGCAGTTGGGAGACGGGGCTTCCATTCCATTCCTTATAAAGGCATGTGTTTTTCTTGAATAAATGCTAAATAAAACCAGCCTTTATGTTTTTCCCCTTGATCTGCAACCCCATTAGTCCATAAATAAAATGACGCCTTCAAAGCACACAGACTGCTCTGCAGGGTGGTCTGGGGAGACAACCGCAGACTGTGCGATGGCCTATGACACCACACTCTTCTCTGGAAAGTCATGCGGGCCACACAGCGCCCCCCGCCAGGCCGAGAGGCCCAGAGAAAGTGAGCCCCGCTGTGCTCGGTCTCCCCCATCCCTGCTGACTCTGGGGGCTGGAGGTCAGCTTCCCACTGTGGAAGGAGCAGGGCCTCCAGAGGCTCCCGGAGCTGCGGGATTGCCTCCTGGTCTTGGGAACCAGCTAACTTCTGTGAGCGTTTCTTTTCCTAGCAGGAAAAGGGAGATAACAATGCCTACCTAACAGCACCGTTATAATAAAAGACCTGTCATTAAGTATATGCTCCAAAACAATAGTAACTATTATTGCTAAATTTTTATTCCCTCAATCACTGGTTACATTATTGAAGTAAAACCCTGCTCACTGGAGTGTTCAGTTAATAGAGGATTTAGTTTACATAAAACAAATTTTCTGCGTAACACAAGTCTTTCAGAAGTAACCATTTTCATTTCTGGCCATGGTGCAGAAAATAATTCTAGATCAGTGATGGTGAACTTTTTGAGCTCGGTGTGTCAGCATTTTGAAAAACCCTAACTTAACTCTGGTGCAGTGTCACATATAGAAATTTTTTGATATTTGCAACCATAGGAAAACAAAGATTTATATTTTTGATATTTATTTTATATATTTAAATGCCATTTAACAAAGAAAAATCAACCAAAAAAATGAGTTCGCGTGTCACCTCTGACATGCATGTCATAGGTTCACCATCAAGGTTCTAGATCATGTTAAAATGCTTTCAAACTTCAGAGAGTAACTGGGTACTTGGACCATTCGCATCTTGCATCACTCTGAGCAGTAAGTACTTCTCATTGTACAGTTGTGTTCTCATTGGGTTGAATTGAAGGCATATTGGGCTGTCAACACAATACAACAAAAACAAATTCTACAAATGAGCATGTCTTAATTTAGTTTCCTCCTTTTTCCTAAAGGAAAGACGTGGGGGGAAGCATAGAATAAAAACAGATGGTTTTGAAGGCTGATGGAGATTTCTGCTGTCTGTGATTCCAGTGGATTGAAACGAAGGGGTCGTGAGGTATCCTTAGCAGACACTGGAGACAAGCTCTTCCTAGATTTTTGCCTAAATAGTTCCTTGGTGTTGTATCTAAACTTGCTAAGAGAACATTTTGATCTATGGATATAAGCTGTAAACCAAACCTCTTCCTTTCTTATCTTCTCTCAAATCCCAATGCAGAGAGAGAGAGATGACATAAAACCATCTCTCTAACTCTCTATCTATCTATCTCTCATTTGGATATAAAGTACATATTAAGCATTAAGTATTAGAAGGAAGTGCTAGGATAGGTTAATGACATTTACTGATCACATTTATTAATCATCTACTACTATACAGAGTGCTTGTACGTATATTATTTATTTTATTCATCACAATAGCTCTACGGGACATATTTTCTTATTTCCATTTTGCACATAAGAAAACTGAAATTCAAAATGTTAGGTGACTTGTGCAAAGTCACACAGCTTATGCAAGGCAGAGCTAAGAGTCGATCCAGGTCCTCTGAAGTCAAAGTCTATACTCTTTCCAAAGAAAGGCAACTGAATCTAGAATAGCTAATGGTTGTAAAATATTATAATTGAAAGGGAGCAATTAAAGACATATCTTTACTTTAAAAAGGAGGAGGAGATGCGCCATGGCTTCGGTAGCTGTGGCTTCTCCCGCTGGGTCTGAGCCTCACCAGCCCCTCCCCCAGGAGACATTTGCAGTGGGCCAGCCCTGCTCCACTGTAACCATGTGTGACCACAAGGCGGTGATCAAAAATGCCAATATGTCAGGGGAGATGCAGCAGGACTCCGTGGAATGTGCTACTCGGGTGTTGGAGAAATATAACATAGAGAAGGATATTGCGGTGCATATTAGAGGAGTTTGAAAAGAAGTACAATCCCCCTGGCACTGAATCGTGGAGAAGAACTATATTGCGGTGCATATTAGAGGAGTTTGAAAAGAAGTACAATCCCCCTGGCACTGAATCGTGGAGAAGAACTTTGGTAGTTATGTGACACATGAAACCAAACACTTCATCTATTTCTACCTGGGCCAAGTGGCCATTCTTCTGTTCAAATCTGGTTAAAAGCATGGACTGTACCACATACCCAGTGATTCATCCAAAAAATAAGGATTGCAGCCTAACTTCCAAATACCAGAGACTGACATCTTCAGCCTTGCTTAAAGGAACATCTTGATCTTGAACCTTTCTTGTGTTGTTTTGTATAGGGCAGTGGTCGGCAAACTCATTAGTCAACAGAGCCAAATATCAATAGTACAACAATTGAAATTTCTTTTGAGAGCCAAATTTTTTAAACTTAAACTATATAGGTAGGTACATTGTTATTAACTTAATTAGGGTACTCCTAAGGCTTAGGAAGAGCCACACTCAAGGGGCCAAAGAGCCGCAGTTTGCCGACCACGGGTATAGGGCATTCCCTGAACTCATTTGTGCTTATAAAACAATTAACAAAACAGCTTTTATTTGTATTTATTTTCTATTCCATATTTCTCTGACTCATGTTTTTCCTTCTCAAAATCTATCCCTTTCCCCAAAAAAGTAAAAATGGGGAAAAAATTAAAATAAAATAAAAATAAAGAGGATGAAACTAAAGTCCAGAGCCGTAACCGGTTTGGCTCAGTGGATAGAGCATCGGCCTGTGGACTTAAGGGTCCCGGGTTTGATTCCGGTCAAGGGCATGTACCTTGGTTGCGGGCACATCCCCAGTACGGGGTGTGCAGGAGGCAGCTGATCAATGTTTCTCTCTCACTGATGTTTCTAACTCTCTATCCCTCTCCCTTCCTCTCTGTAAAAAATCAATAAAAATATATATTTCAAGTCCAGAGAGTCTAAATTATTTGCTTGGGATCACACAGCTCATTAGCAGCAAAGCCAAGTCTAGAACCCAAGATTCTTTCCACTTTTCTTTTTGTTGTTAATCCTCCCCCAAGGATATTTTTCCCCATTGATTTTTAGACAGAGTGGAAGGGAGGGAGAGAGACAGAGAGAGAAACATCGATGTGAGAGAGATATCAATTGGTTGCCTCCTGCACAAAACTGGGGGCCGGGGATCAAGACTGCAACCGAGGTAACATGCCCTTGACCAGAATTAAACCCTCAACCCTTCAGTCCACGGGCTGACACTCTAACCAGTGAGACAAACCAGCTAGGGCTCCACTATTCTTTGCTGACCCTCAGAATAAACACTATGGCACTTCTCTTGTTGAGCATGAATGAAAAGCATTCATTTTTTCTTCTACAGTGGGGCCTAGACTTACGAGTGTCCCGACTAACGAGTTTTTCGAGATACAAGCCGTCTCTCGGCCGATTTTTTGCTTTGAGTTGCGAGCTAAAATTCAGGTTATGAGCCAGCTTCAGATACCCCACCGCTAGTTGGCGCAGCAAACCTCACAGTGAACACCACAACATCAGCCCAGCATCACGTGTCTCACTCGTTCACTTTTTGATTTGACGTACGAGTAATTTGAGTTACGAGCTCCTTCATGGAACGAATTAAACTTGTAAGTCAAGGCCCCACTGTATTTTCATGATCTGGATCTTGTCATGGGATCTATGGAGAGTGATGAACATGATGTCTCTAAACGGAGCTATAAATGCATCAAGAGCAATTGATGGAGACTCTGGCGTTAGTGCTCCAAATTCCTCTGAGCATCTGCGATCTTTCCCATATCTCTCCTATGTCAATATGACTCTCACATGAAGGCATGGAAAACAACTACATAGTTCTGTTTTAAAAATCAGATGTGTTCTATTTGAATTGTTCAAATGTTAAAAGGGGACCAATTGAACATCATTACAGCAGTACCATATTTGAAAGGAAAATGTTAAAACCTTAGTAAGAATTTTGAAAATACATAAAAGGCTCTAAGTTAATGCTTCTAAGCATTTTCCCATCTCTGTGGGAGGTTTGTCCTGTATTCCCATGCCAGTTCATGGGTGTAGTTTGCATAGAGGTTAGACTCAAAGGCAGTGGAGCTAGCTGCCTGGATGACAATCCTGGCCCCACCAAATGGTGGTAAATTTTCTTCAACTCCTAATCCTCACTTTCTCGTCTACTGATTGAAAAGTGATAAAAATTATGGCAGAAACTGACTACTTTCTTCCCAATAACCATTCTCCCCTACTTCTTTGCTAATAGAACCCTGATTTGGGGGAGGGGGTGGCAATGTATCCAGCTGAAGGGGTGTCCTTGTATGTATAGTCTTCCTTGCAACTTTAGATAGAAAATAAGATGTAAATGGAAGTCATCATATGAGGGCTCCAACATTTCTCTAAAAAGAATTACTTATCTAGAAAGTTGTTCCCTTTTGCTCTACCCCCACTTCCTCTTTTTCTTCTACTTAGAACTCGGATAAGGTATCTGGAACTCTAGCAGCCATCCTGGATCAAGAACATCCAAGCCCTGTCCCAAGGGTGGTGGAAGAGATAGAAGAAGCCTGGGTCTGTGATGACCCAAAAGACACCATTCCAGCCCTGAACCACCCACCTCTGGATCTTTTACATAAAAGAAAAGTACATTTGTTGTTGTTGTAAATTTGTACACCTGAAACCTGTGTAATTTTGTTAACCAATGTCACCCCAATAAACTTAATTTTTAAAAGTAAATTTTTATGTTTATATACTCATTTGGAATTAACTATTATATACAGTCAAATCTAATGCTGATTGAAGTACCAATATAATAAATTTTGTAATAGCTCAATAAGATAATTCATATACAACATGTGTAGGGCCCATTTAGTAAGTACTCAATAACTATTAGTTGCTGCTACTACCATTATTAATACTCTGTTAACTACCATGATTAGCACTACACCACCAATAGTATTATGTCTTATCTTCCCCGTGCTTCCCATGTAAGTTCCTTGAGAGCAAACCTTGTACTTTACTCCTATTTGTAGGCCTGCTACTGTGCCCTATACAGAATTTTTTAAAGGTATCTTCTACTTACAGGAAAAGTAATTTTGTTTATTTCTAGTTAAATTTGCTAATAGGTATCAAACTTATAAATCATTGATAATAAAACCTGGAGAAATAAAACCAGCTTTTACATAGGTGTCTGTATTTCCTAATTCTTGTCTTAAAGTATGCATTGTCTTATTTATATGTGAATTGGCAACCAGTGTTAGGTATACTGTTAATAAAACACCATCTTTTTTTACCAAAAAAGAAAAATGTGCAAAAAAAACATGGAAAATCTGGTCACTAGACCTTGTGAGAATAAACAAATCATCTTTTCTGTCAAAGAACAGTTTAGGCAACTGCCATTTGGACTGCGTGAACTGGCAGCCACCATGTTGGCCGCATGGCTTGCAGCTCCCTTGGGGGCCTCCCTTTGAGTTAGCCAATCGCGAAAGATTGTGCCACCTGAGCTCCAATCCAGAGCAAGGGACAGGTCACGTGCACACTCTTGCAAAGGACAGGTCACGATGTGCACACACTTCCAGATCATGTGTGCGCACCCTTCTACGCAGAAGTACAGATGTTTGCCTTGCTGCCTGGCTTCCGAGTATGTTTTGTGTTCTACCAGGACCCCTGACGTGGGGGGCTCGCCTTACTTCTAACAACCTGAAAACTATCTGCCACACTTATCACCAACCCTGCTGTCTTCTTTTATTGTGGTGCCTATCCTTTATAGAGCACTTATTACGAACTAGGTACTGGGCTAAGCCTGAATTAATTGCTAATATCAATTTTGTGGGAGAGCTATGGTTACCTCCACCACTTTTTGTAGGGTTAGTATCTAGAATAAATATTCTAGCCAAATGACAGAAAATGTTTCTTAAGAGATTTGAGCCTATGGAAAATTCAGTTTTGCTTTATTCTATGTTTACGTTCTTTTTCAGAGACTCAGAGAAAAAATAAAGTCTTAAAAAGAGAAAAGAAAGCTTAATTATTAATTTCCCTTTCCCTTTAAAATAATCTCCAGTCACACACACAAAAAAAGAAAATCACTTAATCTTGATCACTAGTTAGAAATAAACCAAATGAGTGTGAATTGAGGAAGTCTCAGTGGTTCTCAACCTTCCTAATGCCGTGACCCTTTAATACAGTTCCTCATGTTGTGGTGACCCCCAATCATAGAGTTATTTTCGTTGCTACTTCATAACTGTAATTTTGCTACTGTTATGAATGGTAATGTAAATATCTGATATGCAGGATGTATTTTCATTGTTCGTGACCCACAGGTTGAGAACCGCTGCTTTAGAAACATAACTTTCTTCCTCCCCCTCACTGCTCACTTTTTTTTTTTCAAGATCTCTTCACTTCCTAGGCCTGCCTGGATCATCCCCCCCCCGCCCCCCACCTTCGACTGTGCCTATCAGTATGGAATCCTCTTGCCCACCCTTACAACTCACACCCTTGTATTTAATACATGATTTTATACTTCCAATTCACAAATTTTGTCTCTCCTGTTCTATATGTTATTTTCTGCGCAATAAGCTTGAGGTAAGAACAGTGATTTTGTATGTCAAGTCGAATGCATACTAATAAGAGGGTACCCCGCTCAGCACACCGACCTTGTCATGAGTTTGTTCAGGGGCACTGAGAACCAGCTAATCCCACAAAAGCTGCTCTGTGGCCCCATTTTACACAGTTATTTGGTTCAACTGCGTATTGTTTTTTAAAGCCACATTGAAATCAAAGTGTTTTCCCAGGCTCTCGGAGTGCCCGGGTCAAGAATGCTGACAATCTCCTGTCAGAGAGAGGCTGTCAGCATCACCCCCTATCAAGCACTCCCAGTCGTCACTTGAATAAGAACAAGCAGGCAACCCGCTGCCTTGTGACAGGCGCTGTGCCGCGGCGAGCCAAGTGCTGTGAATGGAGCCTGTAAAGGTCACTTTATGTAAGAGGAAAGAATGGCGTCACCCAGAGGCAGACACAGTTTTGAATTAAAAACCTGCTTCCTGGATGCTGGAGTACATGTCCTCACTGGGGACCCTCTCCTCCCCCCGCCCCTCGTCCTCTCAATGAAAGGTACCAGTTCTGAAATCTCCAAGTTGTCCAGTTTGGGGTATTGAACGTCCTAGGTAGGTGATAAACTGTTACTTATGATTGAATTT